ACATTGTGGGATATTTAGCAGCATCCTTGGTGTCTACCTACCAGTTGTGAAAAAGAAAAATGTCTCCAAACATTGTCAGATGTCTCCAGGGGACAAAATTGCTACAGGTTGAGACCAGGAATCAGTGGCTAAAGCCTTAAGATAATGGTTACATTATGCCATATACTCCAGCCAACATCACCAGCCTTCAGAGAAATGGTGATGAAAGAGACAGACATGGTCATAGACAGGATTCCCTGAGAAACAGGCTGTGAAACTCTGAGATTCAATTCAAGGGGTAGGCAGCAGGGGTATAATATTCTTGAGAATTTCCCCTGTGAGGAAGCAAGAGAATCAGCGCTAGGCAGGGGGAGAGTTGAATCCCCATGCCAACTTGTTGAGACGGGTTCCAGCCAATTTCACAGAGAGCCTGAAGCCAGGATGGCTGACTTCAGACAACAGGGTCTGTCCTTTAATCACTCCCTGCAGCCCACCCCCTGGATGTGAGCTACCCACTAGCACCTGGGTGTGATCTAGAGCAAGATTAGCTCCTGGGGAAAGCACTCAGTGAGGACATGACAGCCTCCTAGGCTCCCACATCTGCCCTGTCCAGTGGCAATCCAGGAAGGGCACCACAGCTATAGATGAGTATTTTGATTGCATAATTGTAAATGACTTAAAATGTATGAGTGGACCAAGACTGAAAGGTAACAAGTAAATTGTCATTAAAATGGTAGTACTACAAATAATTCATTTTTTCCTTTATCAAAGTTGAATATATACTTCTAGAAACAAGTGCTGAGATCTCAGAAACACAACTCAAAGCTTCAAAATGCCATATAGATTAGTATGACTATGATTCCAAACCTGCTCATCTGTCCTAAGATGCAGGAAGCTTCCCTCAAGAGCAATGCCAGGTATTGTTCTAAAGTACTTTTATGTGTACTAACCTAAAAAATCTCCTCAATAACTCTGAGGTACGTAACTCCATTTATAACTCCATTTTATAAAGAAGGAAACTGAATTCCCAAGAAGTTAAGAAAATCAAGATCTACACAGCAATAAGTGATAGAACTGAGACTTGAATCTACATACTATGACTTTCAAATTCTGGCTCTTACCAACCCTGCTTGACCACCTCTTATCCTATATGCATGTATTTTACACAGTGTCCCTGAAGTCCCCTCAACAACAGCATTTTAACTTCTGGTTTTAGTTCTTCTTGAAAAGAGAGAGAGAGAGAGAGAGAGAGACAGAGAGAGAATAATAAAGCTGTCAATCTAAGACTACACTGAAGGATAAAACAATTGCTTTTAAAATTTCTAGTATTTTAAGATATAAAGGCATTTAATGAATGCCAATAGAGATTGTGAGAATAAAGTGATGCTGTTTTTCTTTAGGGAATGAAGTCCCTCTTCTACTTTCAACACAAAACAGGAAGCTTTATAGATGCCAGTTTGAAGGATGATTCTCCTATTGTCAAAGACTTAACTCCCCAAAGATGTAAGGTTCAAGAGAAAATTGTGTTCAAGTTGATTCATTACGGATCTTGTCTCATCCTCTGGGAAGTATGGGAAATTTAACTCAAATTCATTAACAGTCAAAAATTAATTTCAACAAAAGATAGGTGAACTTTTATATTCAAAAAAATCCCAATTAGTTAAAAAAATAATTTCTAACTTCAAAAGGTCTTTTTCTTCCCAGAATGACCATGACCTTTATGACAGTCAAGCCCTCTAGAACCTTTGTCCAATAGGAACAAGTTTAGTTCCCAGGGAACCAGGCCTTTAAAAGGTCCACAGGCCAGCTGACTGAATAGATGCTTTATTTGAAATGGAATGCATTTTGATAATATGAAAAATAAATCACATCTCTTCAAAATCACTTGAGACACATTTACACAAATTCCAACCACACTATTAAGTTTGCAGTGTGACAGTTTGTAAAACATTTGGTACATGGTAGTACTTGCTTTCCAGAAGCTATTGTTCATGTGTTCTGAAACTTGGAGTAGAAAACTGACAGCTGATGGTGGAGTGTAACAAAGACTTTTATCTTTCTTGGAAAACATGCTTCTCCATTGTCCAATCACCAGCAAGCCAGCTTCAGAGCACTGGGGAGTTGTATGCAAATACTTCTAATGACTAGGAGTCCTTCTGTTTCCTTCATTGTACAAGAATGCACCACCCTACCTGGTTTTTTCTTTTTTTATTGTCTTTGTGGTGCTTGGGATGGAACCCACTGCCTTGCTAGACAAGTGTTTTACTGCTGAGCAACAGCCCCAGCCTCAAGTATGCCCTAAGAAAACTCCGATGGATCCTACTCCATTTGGCAAATATCCTAACAACAAAGTCACAGATCACTTTGTCACCCAATCCCCCATAACTGGATTGGATATTTAACATTGCAGATCCAAAACATCACCCTTCAAAACTGTGTCAAGAATTTTTAGAAAAGAGTTCCTAAAACCTATTCAACATATTTTCACAATTAAAACATTTTAGGTTGCTTTAGGTTAACAGGTGTATTTCTCTAGAAGGAATCACACTGATAGCTGCAATATCATGATACATAATTTCCAAGTTTTAAATTTAGTCTGCTGATGGTATGTATTGATAAAGCAAAAATGAATTAGGTTTTCTCTCTCTCTCTCACACACACACACACACATTCTCACACACACACATACACGCACAAAGCAACTGCTTGCAGACCTCTCCTCATCCCACAAAGTTCTATGTTCGTGGAATTGCTGCGTGCTTGCTCAAGTCTTAGACCCTTCTAAGCCTGCTACTATCATACGGTTAACACCTGCAGCTAAATGATACCACATCACTTTCTGGGGAGGAGGCAGAAAACAAATGATGTATTTGAACAGGCAGAAAAGTTGTTTAGTGTTAGGGCATTTTTAGAGAAACACAGAGCACTTCATGTATGAGAGCAAAAAATAAAATGGATTTTTCAACTTAAGCCAGACTTCATAAGAGTATTTACACATAAGGAGAGCTCCTTTAAGCAATACATAGAGTTTCGGTTTTTCTTTTTCTTTTTTTTTTTTCTTGCCATCATTAGAAGTGAAATGATACAAGTTGGCTTGACTCATACATGATTAGAGAATCTCAGCTTGCTCAATGAGGAAAAATGTTCATTTTGAAAAGGCTCTTTTATAGATGTTTATTCACTGACCTCAACACTCCCTGTAGGGCATAGGCAGATCTAAGTGGATTTCTGCTAAGAAAGAATGAAGGAGCTTCATGATGCTTAGCCTGTCCCTGAATTTGTTGTTCTCAGGGAACTTGAGAGCTAGTGAAGGAAGCACTCAGCGAGGCAAGAGAAACCACCTCCTGGGTGCTGAGGAGTTACATATTTTTTTTCTTTTTTCAATCATTTGTCCCTACAAATGGTAACTAGCTGCATTGTAGGCTGGGTGCCAATAAGAGTTCAAGGACAAAAGTTCAATTTCCAGATGGGACACTACTTTTTTAACTTTTCACATTTGATGTTTGTTTGTGTTTGAGAGGGTGGTTCTATTGGACCTGCCCTTTTGTTCTTTTTCTTGGGTTAGTGGAAAGTATTTTTTTGAATCTTTTCCCATGAAGCTGACTTGTCAGGTTTCACAGTACCATAGGTGGTTTGTATCATTTCCTTCCAGGTAGGACAGAGCCACTGAGATATCAAATGATGTATATTTATATTTTTGTTTAGTTTTGTTGAACATGCATGTTATTTTGCTCTGGAAAAATTATTAAGCCAGAAGAGTTTCAAAGTGTTAAAACAATAAAAACCATCCTACTTCTGCTAGTTTCTGAAATTTCACAGTTAAATGCTAAGAGGGATTGATTCTAACTAGACTGCCATAGTGATGGTCAAGTCAATATAAATCTCACAGTAGACCAAGGGACAAGGGCTATGGAAGAACAAGAAACCATGATTCTGGCAGTACCACTAAGAGCCATGGCCATTGTAGGGGGAAAACTGGAGCAGCCAAGAGAAAACTGGAGCATATTTTTTTCAACAATGAGATTATCTAGCTCTGTACATAAGCTAACAACATACAAATGCCTTTTAAAAAAACCTACATCAATCTTAATTTTCAAAGTATTTGGTACAAATGTTTATAACACAATTATTTAGAAGAAAAATCCTCCATTTGAAACACTGTGGATTAATTGGGGTTATTATGATCTACATGTATTAAAACTACAGTATTATTAGGCATTTCCTAAGTCAGATCAAACTGAATTTAAGAAATCTTTTGACCTTGTCTCTCTGAGCTGTCCCATATACCTATAATGTCTTTAAATCTTGACAGTACATTTTTACAACTTCAACCTAAACAGCCCCTAGAAGTGGGAGTTCACTTATGTTTTGTTTTGTGCTATTTGTATAAGTTTTAATTTTCCCCTGTAACTTCTTGGGTAAGAGTTATTATCTCAAAGTTGCATCATTTAAAATTCATTGAAATTCCTTTCTAAATAGAAGGAGAATAAAGACATCTCCAGCATACAATTCTATTTTCATTTCTTGACTGTATAGTTTAGCAGTGGTCTACAATGACCATTCCAATTTAAATGCTGGAAAAATACTGACCAAGACACTGTGAAAAAGACACTGGAAAACAGAGACCCATTTTGAAAGCCATGCAGATAGGAAGTGATTTTTAGCCCCAAGAGGATTTGGTACCATCTACGGCTCTTTCTAAGTAGCATCTGCCCTGGTGGATTCTGACCATCCTTTTGATTTAACACAGAAGGAGGTTTGTTCTACCTTTAAAAGCACATCCTCTCTCCCCCACCCCTCCTCAGACTCCTAAACAAATGGCTGCTAAAACAAGACTGGGGTTGTTTTCTTACTGAAATCCATTGTTTATCCAGTCCTTCCTTTTTCAATTCTGAGTTTAGCTAACCTAAGAAAACATATAACTTCTCTAATTTCTCACAGAACAATAAAAACAGTTGGTTCTTCTAATCAACATTATTTTCTGTATGAAAATAAAAAAAATATGACTTCTAGTCCTTTGATATATTTACAAACTATATTTTAAACTATGAGATTCTTAGTGTGCTTGTAGAACAAACTGAAAGGATAAGAAAATGTGGTTCAATTCAAGTGTGCAAAGCTCTTGGTGAAGGGTACTTCAGTATGGACAGGAGCACAAATACTTTTAAACAAGTTGAATGATCCCCCCCCACACACCCGCCCAACCACACTACATTTTCTAACTGAAACATCTAATGCATTCATATTCAGAAAGCACAATTAAAAGGACTGTTTTTGTTTTGCTTTTTTGGTGCTGGAGATTGAACTCAGAGCCTGGCACTCTACCACTGAGTACACCCTCCAACCCTCAAAAAGAACCCTTATTAAACCTTCACACACAGATTATATAAGCTCCTACAGTGGACCCAGCCCTACCACATATTTAAGACATGACCATTCTGCCATCAATTAGGTTATGTTCTAGATATTTTGAAATCAGATGTCATTACTACTGATTTCCGAAAGCATTATCTTGATCATTAGATTTTCATAATTACACAATTCTGAGCTCTTAGCTTTTTAAAAAATTCTGTTCTACATATACTATATGTCTAAGGAAGAAACCTCAAAAAAAAAAGTAATATCAGAGTTTAATTTCAACAATGAAAGTGTCAGACCTCCTGAAAATGCCCTGGGAATATTGACTGTATTCTTAATGTTTTCCTCTCCACCATCCTTTTTATCTTTTCTAAGATTAGAACTTACTAGGGAATAGGTTTTTGGGAAAATGACCTACATTCAGAAATGTCTTAGAGCAAGTATTTAAAAAAACTAATAAATAACCATAAACCAAAATACATTAAAATAAAATTACAGTACATCATAGCTTCTAGACGGTCCACTAAATTAGAAAATCCTTTCAAAGGTTCATAAATAAAAATCGATCCCTGCGTTGTGATGAAGAATATGCAGAAAACTAAGAGGAACTGCAAGTTATCAGGTGATGTCCAAACTACTTGGTCTGGTGCAGGGCGGGGAGACTGTTTTGTTTTTGATCCAAGTGAAGACAATAGAAATCTGCTTGTCCCACTTCCTCAAGTCCTCAAAACCTGGAAAGAAATGACACCGAATGAAGTATGTTGCTCAGAATTCTTCAAGACCCAGTTTTCTTCAGGTAAGTCCAGGGGACAAAGCATACTCAGAAAGATAATCAGATCGCTCCCAGAGTGCCAGACACACAGTTGACACTGGAGCGCACACCACCCAAGGAGGAGTCAGGTTGGGCATGGAGGCGGTCTGCCTGCCTCCCTGCCTGGCCTGAACAACCCCCACCCCCCAATCCTCCCCTCTCTGCCGGGCCATTCCTGGATCCAGCTTAATGTCTTCTTTCCATCTCCCCCAAAACTTGGAATGATTTCTCATTTTCCCACCTAACAGCCAAACCTGTGAACAAGTTCCTCTCAACACCCCCGAGATCCCACTCTTCTGTGGCCCAAGTTGCGAAGACCTTACCTTGTCTGGCCCAAGTACTGCCCCCTTCAGGCAGAGTTGGAGGTGCTGCGGAGAAGCCGGTGGCCGAGTGGCTGCGAGTGCTGTTGCGAGTGCTGTTGCGGGTGCGTTTGTTGGTGCGGATGTTGTAGTTGGTGAGGATGAGGGTGCGGGTGTGGGTGCTGATGAGGATGCGAGTATGGATGAAGCTGCTGAGGCTTGGGTTGGGGCTGAGACTGGAGTTGGAGTTGGGGTTGGGGTTGGGGTAGGGGTTGAGGTTGGGGTTGGGGATGGGGCTGGGGCTGGAGCTGGGGCTGGGATTGAGGCTGGGGCTGAATCTGCGGCTGCGGAGGTTGCTGCTGGACCAGGTGCTGCTGCTTCTGCCGCGTGGACTTGACCGCCAGGATGGCCTGACGATTCTTGTACTGCACCATCTGCAGAGTGATCTCGGCGTTCCAACCTTGGTCCTGCGGGCACCGAAAGTCAATCTCCTTGCCCTCTGCCATCACCACAGTGAAATACATATACTTGCCCTTGCGCTCCACGCAGTCTACGGTCTTCATGTTGGAAAAGTGCAATTCCTTGAGCTTGACCGGGGGCTCAAGGCTGGCGACAGCGGGGCCACTGGGTTGCGACGGCTCAGCCGTCCCCTGCCCGGGCTGTTGCTGCTGCTGTTGCTGTTGGTGTTGCAGCTGCTTGGGCGGGATAAGTAGCAGCCCCTCCTCAGTGAGGATGCAGCACTTTTTCTTCCAGAGCTGCAGCAACCCGTCGCTGCGCTTCTCCAGTACGCCCTCCTTTAGTGCCTTGCAACCGCTGCTCTCCAGCATCCTCCCGGCATAAGGGGGGCCACCGCTTGGCTCGGCCTCTCCTCTTCCTGCCGCCCGGGCTGGGGGCAGCAGTAGCAGCCGCGCGCCGTCCTCGCCCCAACGGCTCCCACGGCCGCCTGCCCGGAGCGCGCAGAGGAGGCTAACACGTAGGAGGCAGAGCGGTGGTGGCGGTTCTGAGTCCCGGCAAAAGGGCAACCGCGTCCTGATACGCCACAAGGTCCTGGAGCTGCGAGCTGCCTGGCTTTTGCCGTCCTCTTGCGAGCGCTCACTGAAGGGCACTGGCCGGGCCCCCTCGCGGCGCTTTTGAATGGGCCATCCTCCCCACCCCCGAGTGACACCCAGCGGAAAAGGCGGCTCCTGGCACCCGCACCGCGGGGGAAAGCCCAGCTCCGAGAGGCGCTCGGCTGCCGGCGCACGCCTCATTAACTTGGGGCCTTCCCAAAGCCGGCCGCGAACACGCCCCCTGCTTCCCTTGCTCCGCCTCTCGACACCCACTTGCTTCAGTGCTTCCTCGCCTGGAAGGCAGCACGAGCCCGAGCCCCGGAAACTCCTCTACTCCGCCCTAGGCGCCCCAGCTGCCTAGCGACTGATGCCAACGCCCAAATTGCGCTGAAAGGCCATCCCCTCTGTCCCGCCTTTCCCTGGCCCACGGGTCCCTCTGCTAACAGCCTCAGAAAGTGAGGATGTGGCGGCGAAGGCGGGTAACAGCTACCAAGCAGTGCCGGGAATACAAAGCCCTCTACCCTGGGGAACCAGCCCTAGGGTTTAGCGCCTCTGAGATCCCGCAGAACCAGTTTCTTGGTGAGGAGCAGGGAGACTGAAAACAAAACGTGACCCTAACACACCGCGAAGTATTTCCGAAGCGTCTGCCCCAGACCCGTATGTAGTGTACAAAGGCCCAATAGGACATCGTACTTTTTTGTTCAGTCATTAAATAGCTCTTGGAATAAATGTGTTAAAGCAATAGGGCTACCGCCTTTTTCCGCCTTTTTATTTTAGTAAGGGCAGGAAAAGGTGGATGCATTTGCAAAGGCAGCATTTTCCCCTCCTCTCTCGACCCCAGACGACAGGTAGTAGCTAATTTCCCCTATTCAGAACACAAGCTTTCTCCGTTCCTTGACCATTCAGCCTGCAACATCTCAGAATAGTTACTCAACCAACTACAAACAGGAGAAAATGTTCCGAGATCCCACACTTCTGAGGTACAGCTTGATCTTCCAAACGCAGACTGGCCCTTCCGGTCCCTTTGTACAAAGGCCTAATGGGTCAGATCTATCGGGAATCTCTGTGAACAGAGAAGGTAATGTCCTACCAGACCCCAGCTCCCTCAGCGTCTACTGCTTCTTGAGAAGTGTATAAACCGAGATCTAGCTTCTGTTAGGGAAACTCATCAAATAAACAGGGCGCGCCAAGTATGCACCGACCCTGAGGAAGATAATTTCACAAAAAAGAAAAATGAAGGCGGGAGCGGGGGCTAACAGGTCCAAGTTAGTTAGGGTAAGAGAAATGGCTACTTCTGTGGCCAAAGTAGAAGGGGTAGTTTAGCTCCGCTTCTAATCACATGGCTATACCAAAGAATTCAAGGATAAAGAAGCTTGCAAAGCTGAGCAAATCATAATTCTTTATGTGTTAAGAAATTCGAACAAATTGAGAGACAATCAAAACAAAGGATGTTTTAAGTGAAGGAAGAAAGTCCTGAATCTTAATCTTAAAATAACACTTGTATTGGAACATGGTTCTGCACCCATTAAATTGCACTTGACCAGATCTCAGGGCTTTCACATAATTGATTTAGAAGCCTTTAAAGGAGAAGGGCAATTACTGAAATTTTGTAAAGATTTCTAATAATATCATGTTAAAGATTTACAATTCTATGTATCAATGACAAACACTATATCTAATATCTCAATTTGTTTCATTCTTTGTGGGACAACTGAGCATTCCAGAGAATTTCTACATGATCAGCTGTTTATCCTTTTAACAGAATGACATTCTTTAGCTCATTTAGAAAAGATATGTCCTTTAAATCTACAATCTCTGAGGGCAGGTGTCATTGACAAAGACATTTCATAAGGAAAAACATAAAGTTGACTGAGTAAAAAATGAGATGTAATCTGAAACCCAGGCCATTTTTTTTTTTTTTTAGGAGAAAACTCCAGTGTTTGGTGTTAACCTTCTGCAACAAATACATTCTATTCTCCTATATTAGGGCTTGACTAATATTTGAATTAAAAAGCCCTACTTATAACAAGAAACTTTTAAAACTCAGAATTTTCCATTGGCTATTTCACAATTACAAGTACCCAGTTAATATTATAGACCTAATTTTATTAGGTCAAATGAGTCTATAACGTGCTCTAACCACATGCATAATTGGAAAACTTTGTATAAGAACCTTGTATATTTGGACAACTTTGCTCTTATTTCATCACCACCAACTCACTTCTTTCCTTCTTTGTTTAGTACTGGGGATTGAGCCTAGGAGTGCTTTACTACTGAGCTAAATTCCCAGCAAGGCCAAGGCCCACCCTTTGAGACAGGGTCTTGCTGGTTTACATCAGTTGCCCATCAGCAGCATAGGACAGTGTTCATTTTTACCCCATGGATAAAGTTCTCTACTTCAATGGGATCATTCTCAACGTTGTTCCTCCTGTCTGGTAACTATCTCCTAAGTTGTTCCTCTTCTCCCAAGTCTTTTTTTTTAATTGTTGGCTGTTCAAAACATTACATAGTTCTTGATATATCATATTTCACACTTTGATTCAAGTGGGTTATGAGCTCCCATTTTTACCCCATATACAGATTGCAGAATCACATCAGTTACACATCCATTGATTTACATATTGCCATACTAGTCTGTTGTGTTCTGCTGCCTTTCCTATCCTCTACTATCCCCCCCTCCCCTCCCCTCCCCTCCCCTCTCTCTGCCCCCTCTACTGACATTCATTTGTCCCCCTTGTATTATTTTTCCCTTTCCCCTCACTTCCTCTTGTATGTACTTTTGTATAACTCTGAGGGTCTCCTTCCATTTCCATGCAATTTCCCTTCTCTCTCCCTTTCCCTCCCACCTCTCATCCCTGTTTAATGTTAATCTTCTTCTCATGCTCTTCGACCCTACTCTGTTCTTAGTTACTCTCCTTATATCAAAGAAGACATTTGGCATTTGTTTTTTAGGGATTGGCTAGCTTCACTTAGCATAATCTGCTCTAATGCCATCCATTTCCCTGTAAATTCTATGATTTTGTCATTTTTTAATGCAGAGTAATACTTCTCCCAAGTCTTTGAATATTGAAATACCCCAGATCCTAGTCCTGGTTCTCTTATTTATACTCATTCCCTTTATCTAAATCAGACTCATCACATGCCCCAAAGTCCCAAATTTACATCCCAAATTGTATAAGCAACATCCAGTTGCTATTGTCAAAGAATAAAACAGACTACTAAAGTTTAACAAAAAAAATTAATATGCCAGGTAAGGGAACACTTAGGAAGAACATTCACTGAGCCATTCACTAAAGTATGAGGGAAGCTTAATTTATAAAGCTTTTTACCAAAAAGAAAAACATAAAACTCAGAACATTCTACCTAGAAGGAAGAGGAATCAACAGATTTACACACAATTGAAACAGATTCCTGGCTGGGTATAAAGGCTGAGGCAGGAGGATCTCAAGTTCAAGGCCAGCCTCAGCAACATAGCAAGACTGTCTCACAAAATGTAAAAGTCCTAGGGCTTGGAATGAAGCTCAGTAAAGCACCCCTGGGTTCCATCTCCAGGACCTCACCCCCTGAAAAGATTCCTAGATGAAACTGGTTCAAAAAGGTCTGGAGAACCAGGATCACTAAGTTTACGGTATTAAAACAGCTTTAGCTGATTAGAATGGCTATATGTGAAAAACTGCCTTCAGTATGGATAGATTTCAGGCTAGCACTACTCCAAGTTTGAGTTGTTTTTCTTGTATTTCTCTTTAATATTAACTGGGTACTTACTGTAGAGCTCAACATATGGTCTTCCAACATGTTTTATCTACAGCCCCCTTCTCAGGTGATGGTGATCAACCTGTACAGCTGATCAAGTCAAAAACCTTGGACCAGGTTTGCCCTTACCCCAGGCCAAGAGGAGCCCTAGGCTTTTTAAGTATTATGTACTTCAGAGTAGTCAAAATGGCATGTCCATCTGGAATACATATTCTACACTCCAGGCACTTGAGACTCCAAATGACCTCCAAACTGTTCCAGGAAATGCAGTTACCACTGTGTACATGGACAGTTCTATTACACAGGCAACAGTGTCCCCCCAAACATGCAGGAGGCTTTTTGAAACCATTCACAGCTTGGGGGGGGAACAAATGAAAAATGGGACATGGGCTGAGAATCAGATCTGCTTATAACCTGGCTTTCCAGGTTTTTACAAAGGTATGTTTGTCAAAATTGGACATATTTTTATTTAACAAAATGCTTAAATATTAAATACATGATACCTGCTTTATACTCTTACCTCAGGACTGCAAATGTGTTAGAAGCATGTCCACCTTCCAGTAATCATTTCTCTCAATCTACATTTACACAGCAAATTCCATTGGTTGTACTTCAAAACTATATCTGGATCTGATTTCATCTTCTCCATAGATTACTATAATGGCCTACTAATTTTTTTCCTTGAGTTTATCATTGTCTTACAATGTACTTTAAACACAGGAGTCATCCCAAGCACAAGACTTTACTCAAATGTCAGCTCCTCAATGTGGCCTATCTTAATCACTTAAAATTCCAACCACCTGATTCCCATATAGTATTACCTTCTAACATATTACTGAATGATGATCATTGCATATTTGTTTCCTTTTTTTGAATATACACTCTTCAAGGTAAGGATCAGTTTCTGATGTGTTCCAATCACTTGGAACAATTTTTGGCACACGGGTGCTCATCACAAGGAAAAATTGTTTAGAAGCCTAGCATAAGATCACTTTATGCTTTTGATAAGTCTTACAAGGCATCCTACTTTAAATGTTACCCCAAAACAAAAAACAACAACAACAACAAAAAACTTCCGAACTTGCCATACCAATATATATTTGGTATATTTTTAAATGGCCAACTACAACACATACTAAGCCCATTATCTTAAATGCTACTATATTCCCTAGATGCTATCTAAATATACCCCACAAAACTGTGAAAAATACTGAGAAGTATCTACTGTTGTCCAGTAAGAGTAATTGAAAGGAAGAGAAACTAAATTAGTACAACTAACCAAATATTTGCTTAGAAGTCCATTACCAACATGGTTAGATGTAGAACTTGCAAAGTTAGATTTGGATAGAACAAAGATTGAAATAGTTAAAAGCAGCCAGGCATGGTGGAACAAGCCTGTAATCCCAGGAGTTCCACAGGCTGAAGCAGGAGGAGTCCAAATTCAAAGCCAGCCTCAGCAACTTTTCAAGACCCTAAGCAACTTAGAGGACCCTGTCTCATAAAAAGCCTAAAAGCCAATATTCTATAAAATCAGGTCATCCTCACTGATGTACCAAAGCATAACCAGTCTCAC